CTCACTCAACACCCAAGTGGAAAATATCTCACTTCACTACATATTGTAGAAGTATAGTTGTTTGCATCACTACAAGGATTGACAAGAGTCTAACCTTTTGAGAAAAGCTTAAAGATAAAAACCAAAGTGGCAAAATAGTTTGAAATGAGATTGATTGACTTTTAGTCTTATCACAAAAAGTGTCAAAGTATTATTAAATTGATTGAAGTTTATTTGTGAAAATGTTTTGAAAATGCATGGACCTAAGTCCAAGTTTATTATGTAAGTGTTTCAAGTTTAGAAACAAGAAGAGTTTAAAAATGAGGGAGAAGATTTATGAAATTAAAGAAAATGGGAGGATTAGAAGAGGCTATCCTAAAGCATAAGGTAAAAGCTAAGGGTAAGGACCATCTAACCAACAAGAAGCCAAAACTTTACATTATGAGCCGAGATAGAATTCCAATTCTTTGGATTGAAACCAAGCGAGCAAAGATACTAGACCTCTTCAAGTGTATTAAGTCTTCACAAAAATTAGGCAGAGTAACAGCTGTATACGGGTAAATTCCAGATTACAAACAGAGAATGTAATCACAAAAACCTGCACAAAAAAACAAACAAACAACCCAATGTCTTGAGGTAAACCTCAAGAACTCCAGAAAAAATAATCAGATAAGACCACAAGGTCTCCAAGATAGGCCAAGGTTTCTAATCCTAAGTCCAAGAAATAGTCCCATGCTCCATAATACCAAGGATAGTAACCAAATAGTCCAAGTACCATTAAGAGTTTTTTAGGGTTTATGTTGATTATTAAGTATCTTAAGAAAATAAAAGAAACTCTTAAGTGAGCAAAGTAAAAATGACAAGAAAATAAATACTCAAATGAGCAAAGATGAAAATGGCATGAAATGAAAAATGCTAAAAAATAAATAGTACATAAAGCATAACAGAATAAAAGCATAAAATAAACAAGTCAATAATTAGTTGTTAGTTGGATGACCATCTTGAAACTTACATTTGGAACTCATTAGAGGATTGGTAGAACCAAAGCCTCCACAGAACAAGTTGCATTTGCTTTTTGTCAAGTATATCATCCATTTGGAATTTTCATAAGTACCATTTAATGATCAACGATGTTTAAGTGATCTGCGTTGACCAAAGGTGTTGTAGATCCATTAGAGGATTGGTAGAACCAAAGCCTCCACACAATGAATCTCAAGGTTATTGGATCAAAGAGATCAAATTAACATACTTAGGCTTGCAATTATAGGTTTGGGCCACAAATGATCATTTATTCGAATCGGGACAAAATTTAGCGTTATGTTAAGCAATCGTAAGTGGACTTATATAGAAGTCGCACCTATTTTGAGGCCGGTCAATAGCAATCTATGCACCATTTGTTTTGAGACATGATATAGAGATCATGTTCCAACAACATTTAGTGTAATGAAAAGGGGATGAGATGAAGAGGGATTAGGGTAAAAAGAGAAACCATATTTTGAATTAAAAATTTAATCAAACTATTATTAAAATCATTCATCCATTTTTGTGGAGTTAAACTCAACACCATGGATCCAATGATGTTAATAAAGTCATGAATAAAAAATCAACCCAAGACAGCTAGAAATAATCACAAAATAATAATGTATTTAATATATACATTAAAAGGTTTAAAAATGTTTTAAAAAAGGAAAATAATGAGGAAAATATAAATTATATGCAAATTAATTAAGAAATGAAAAATAAGACCGTAGAAAAATCAGAAAAGAGGCCAAGTAATTTTACAAAATTTTTGGTAATTTTTAAAAGTCAGAAACTATTTTTAAAAATTAAAGTAAATGGGTAAAATAAACAAAAATAGTAAAAAATATAAAAGTCAGAAACAAAAATGAAATAAGGTCACCAATATTTGTCACAATATCATTGGATCATTCCATAAATTTTTCAGAATTTAAAAATGTATAAAAGTATTTTTAAACATTTTAAACAAATCAAATAAGTGTAAAATTCATAAAAAATACCAAAACACAAAATTAAATTGTGAAAAAATAAAAATCAGAAAGAAAATAATCAAAAATATTTTTCATAATTTTTTCTAGATTTTTTGGACTAAAAAAGAATTTTCTATGATTTTTGAAATTTAAAACAATTAAAATATAAAAATCAGAAAAAGAAAAATAAAAGTTAAAGATGTGGACCATTGGATGAGAGGTAAAATGCGTTAGTAATCAAATCCAAGGGATCTGGCACGCTGTGCATATCATGGTCATTAATGAATAATGTACAAAATCAATAATAAATCAGATTTTTGAAAAACACAAATGGCACGCCATCATTGGTTGGAAGATGTCACGTAGGTCATCTTCAACCTCCAACCAACGTGATTTGCAGGTCTCCCAAACTGTAAAATCAGAAGCTCAAACCTATGCCAATCGCTTCGTCTCTTCAAGACGAAAACAAACACATCCTCGCGCCAAATTTATATAAAATGTAGCTCAAGCAATTTGGAAGGAAAGTTTTGAAAATGGATTTGAAAATTCATGGTCAAAACGTGCTCCTAGTGAAATGTAAGTGTTGCGACTAGAACCAGGGCAATGAGAGTAACACAATGATATCAGATTTTTGAAGAATTGATGAAGGAATCTACCTATTGAAGTTGAGTTGCAGAGCTCTGAAACTGGACTTCTATGGGGCAGTATAGGGCACGATTATTGAATGTAATTATATGGTTAGCTTCAGGGAAGATCAAGGAAGGTGAATTGAGGGAAAAAAATGGATTGAAAAATGCTTGAGAATAGACTTCGAAGTTTCTGAATTCTGGGTTGTGAAGCAAGTTTGGCAGGCTAATTCTGGCTATCTAAGCTTGGGAAATTGAATGGGGGATAACTCTCTATTTATAAGGAAGCAAATGGGATCAAAAGGAATAGCAAATGATGCATTTTGGAGGGAATTCGTGTGAGTTTGCATCATGAAGAAAGTGTCACTCAAACTTGATCAAAACTCAGCCAAATTGTGCGTTTCATGATGCTAATCACTTCTAGAAACTTGCTAAACATGATTAGAAACAAAAACGCGTGGAAATCTTATGATTAGAAGCCAAAACAAAGATTTCAAAATCCTGACTTTGTGAAAAATTCAGTTTCAAACTACCCAATTCAAATCTATGGCATTTCCACCTCAAGGGGTCTTAGGGCATAATTCTTGATGCTTTGGAAAGATGAGGTTACAAGCTTTGCAATGGAAAAAGAATGGAATAAAATGGATGCTTGAGCTGAAAGTTACATGGAGTCAAAGTTGAAGAAAAGTGTTGACTTTCCATACTTAGAAATATTTCAAGTTCTTCTTAAAAAATGACCTATAATATTTTGTATCCAAACATGGCCTTCCACTTAGAATTTTCTCTTGACCAAAAAAGATGGAATGAAGTAGATCTCTTGAATGACATTTTTCAATTTGAACCACTCAAAATCTCAAAAAATTGAGTAAGTTATGACTTGTTGAAGTTGGCCAAAAATCATGAAATGACCTATAATCTTTTGCATTCTTAAGGCAACTTCCATCTATTTTCTTACTTTGCACATAAAAGAAGGCATGAAGTACAAATCTTTAAGATCATCATGGAAAAAGAATGGACTCAAGGTGATAAAAATTGACCAAGTTATGACCATTTTAAGTCACATATGGAAAATTGGGGACTCATCTGGATGGCTTGTGTTGTACCCCAATTTTTGCCTAAGATCCCATTTTTATTTTTTGCATTTTTTAAGATAAGTCAAGGTCACGAAATACGGTCGGTTTTTAACTCTCTCACCTTCGAGCATTTCCTATGCATAGATTATCAAGTATCGTGAACATTTTATCTTATGTGTCACTAACTTCTAATCACATACAAAGGTGTATGTTTGTGTTTCTTTTGTTTCGTGTGCAGAGATAGGTCTGAATCAAGAGCATCAGGCATTGCGCCTCAGTTAGGGTTTTTAGTCCCTCAAGTTTTCAAGAATGTTGAATCAACAATTTTCAAAGGCTACTTCATCAAAGCTTATCCTCTAATCTCAAGAGAACAGCCAAGGTTTCATTATCACTGGTTCACATATGCATCAATGCGTCCGGGAATGCAAGGAATGATCAAGCTTGCAAGTCGATTCAAAGCACTTAGACCAAAAAGCCAATTTTTTCAAGATCAAGTTCAAAGGATCATAATTTACTCAATTTCCAATATTTTGAGACAGTTCTTTTTGCATGTTGTCATATTATGCTTTGAAGGCTATGGAATTTATTGAAACGTTATAGGTCATTCTCATAACCTAGAATATTCTTAACCTCCAAGCCACAATTCATGCCATAATTGTTCTCTAAAGATATTGAATTTTATGATGAGTTTGTTCATGACACATGATGATGAGTTTAAGGATTCTTTAAATTGTTTGGCGCTTGTTTCAAGTCACTTGCATTTGAGCATAAGTGATTGTCAAATTATGATGAATTTTTTTACCAAGGCTCTTAAGATACTATTTGTTCACTCAAGTACTAATGACAAGTTTGCAAATATTCTTCAAGAGAAGTTCACAAAAGTCCATCAATTCTACAAGGACTATTTCTAAGGAAAAGTTCTTATTCAATTCAAGAATTTGATACAAACTTTAAAGAAAATTTCAAGATCATTGATTCAAGGATATTTGTCATGTTTAGTTCAAAAGTGGAGAATGCATCATGTTAATTTTTAGGCGTATTTCAAGTTTGTAATTTCAAAAAAAATTTCAAGACAAATCCATTCCAAACTCAAATGAAATATTTAAAGTTACATCCAAATTCAAGACTTGTTACAAATTTCATATCCCATTACAAATACTATAGCCACAAAATCACATGAAAAAACATTGCAAATCCTGAAGCCTATTTTAAACTATCCTTCATCAATCTTCAAAATACCAAGTCTAAGCCTATGCTATTATTTTCAAGCCCGTTTTCCTTGCTTCATGATGCATCAAAATTGCTCCATAACTTGTACCAATGTTGTCCGTAAATCAGCTGCTCCAAACTCTGCATATCAGTCCAAACCTTGCTTCAAAATCATCCATACTGTATGCTGCTCCAAACTCTGCATATACGTCCAAACCTTGCTTCAAAATCATCCATATTGTATGCTGCTCCAAACTCTGCATATCAGTCCAAAAACAAGTCAAAAATTCTGCACAAATAATGCCAAAAAGCTCCTGTCAAACCTGTCCAAAAACAGTCTAAACTTTCACAAAAATAGAAAATGCAAATCCTGCATCAAAAAGGAAAAATCAGCATATCGCATTTTGTCCAAGACTCACAAATTTTCCCTCCAAAAAAATTCATTCTGATTATATATACAAAGACAAGAATACATAAGAAGAGGGGGAGAAATATAAAAATCTGTTTTAATCCATGGATGAAAGAAGTAGAGAAAACAATACAGTAAAAGAGACCCAAATAATTCACCTCCCTGCACCATCTCTCTCCTCCTTCTCTCCGTTTTTTACTTCACTTTCGATCATGAACACTCTCCATTAACAACACAATACAATACACTTTTATAGATTCTCACTCACCCAAGATATATAGATAGATACCAAGTGTTTGAAATGGCAAAAACAGTAGGGGAACCATTTTTCTTAACCTCGATCAACAGATGCCACAGCAACCGAGTTCTCATATGGTGCAGGGTGCTCAGAGGCAGCGTTCTCCATCTGCTCAACCAGTGCAGCAGCAGCAGCAGAACTCTCAGCTTACACAGTCAACACCTCCCTGCATCTTCGCACATGTGACGTATCAGCAAACAACTCACAATACAAACACAACATAACAATGTTTGAAATCAGAAGCATGATAGGGTCGTGGATTCAAACATAATACCTTAATAATTTACACAGAAATCCTCCTCTCTGTCGGTATTCTTCTTTTCACTTTCTTTGATACCACTGTAAATCTTGTTCCTCTTTATGATTACTATCACTTTGTTTGTTCATAATTACTGTTGATGTTAGAACTTTCATTCACATGATGATTTCATTGTTGAATCTTTAAGAGCTGTGAGAACAAGGAAATCATGAGAACCAAATATGAGATAGAGAATTGAGCAACTGTGAAATAGAGTGCATTACTGTAAGAACCGCATAGGGTTTTAGCCGAGAGTGTACTCAATCTTCTCTCCATTTTTTTCACCTCCTCTTCCTGCTTCTAGTGATGGATCAGAATCAGATTCAATGCATAGTTATCATAACCCTACCAGCCACACTCCCAACTTTCATCTTCGCTCACACTCCCAATCATCTTCATCATATTCATTCCCCTGTTCATCGCATAGACACACAATCTCAACAATATTACGTCAGTCCCAGTTTCTGTTACCCAAATTGATACTCCCTTCGTTGAACAACTCGCCATCGTATCCATTCTTCTTCCAATCACCACCTTGCTGCAACAATCTCAGTTGTTCACCCCCAAACTCCCTTTCATTTCTTCACAAACAGCGTCATCCAAACCAATCCTCACCATCCCTTTAACTCCCTCTCCCTCCACGCATCGGTTTCCTTTCAATCCACCCATCTTCTCCCTTCCAACGCGCAATGATTCCCAACCTTCAGCTCACCTCCATCAAACTGCATCCCATTCCGCAGTACCCAACACTCATCCCGACCAACAGCCTTCTTCGTAGGCAACCCTGTCTAATTCCCTCCACCTCGTTCTCCTTCACCGAACCACAATCAGAATCGTTCCTCTCCTTTCACCGTAAACAACCCACGCATGATACCCCAAACCATTCGCCACTGTTAAATCCAACCTTCCCTTCATCATATCCAACATTCCCGGATCCAGGAGGAAGAAGAAGTTGGAGCGGCTGTTTGTGAGAGAGGGAAACAACTGCGCTGTGAGAGAGGGACGAAAAGGAAGGAAACGTCATTTGAACCCTAACTCTGTTTTCCTTGGATTACTTAATTTTCTTACAATAAAATTCTGAAAGTGAATTTTTGGATCCAAGTGATTTCGTGGGGCTTTTACTGCTCAAACCCTTTTCAGGCCTGCTATCACATTTTCTACCTGGATTGCCTTACAAAAAAAAGGAAGTTTCTCTAGGATTCAATTTGATGGGCCTAATGTTCGTTCCTAAACCACCACCCAATTTTGACCCTGTCTATATGAGCCCAATTATTTATTTTATTTTATTTTGATTAATCTGCTTTCTTTTTCCATATGACCTGGGCCCTTCCCTTATTCTAGTCATTCCGAATTCCTATCATTACACCCCTTTTTTTCGGTTTGATACCCCCATGCTATTCATTTTAGTTTTATTTCCTTAGTTAAATTTATTTAAATTAGGTTAGTTAGTTTCTTAGAAAGAAACATGTAGTTTCAATTAGACAAATTTTAATAATTTTAGTTTAGGATTATTTTAGTAATTTTAAGTTAATTGAGGATTATTTTAGTAACCTTAGAATTATTTTTAGTTATTTTAGATTTAATTTAATAACTTTAGAATTTTAATTTAGTTTATATCTAATTTAGTAATTTTAGAATTATTCTTTATAACCTTAGAATTTGTAATTAGTTCAGAATTATTTTAGTAAGTAATCTTAGAATTTTAATTTAGATAATTGGTTCCATTCTCTTTTAAATATCTTTGTCATTTTAATTTTTCGGGGTCTTTCGATTTATTTCCTTGTGAATTTTCGAATGTTCATATTTTGACATCCATGTTATTTTGTTCGTCCGTCTAAACTCCAAGGGAAACGTTCTAACTTTGTTGACTTCATGTCATCAAACACATGTTATACGATTAAGCGAATACCTTCCTTCATTTTTTGTTTTACTATTTTGTTAATCTTAAGTTAATTTTTTCTAAAAGACTCAATTTTCAAACTCACACCTTTTAAGTCAAAACTTCGACATTAGGTCGCTGTCTCTTCAAAATCTCTCCAACACCGATTTTTAGCCAAGCGAACCATTTTAATCAAACAATCAATTTTAACTAAAAACAGATGTTTCAAAAGGTTCCTGCGGAGTACCTCAGATGCATTGGGTGCTAATACCTTCCCATTGTATAACCAACCCCCGAACTCTCGATCTCTTTCAAAAACACATTGTATTTTTATTACTTTTAAGTATTATTTTACATTGCATATTTTAGGGTTTTATTTCGCTCTTTTCCCTTTTCCCTTGGAAATAATAAAGCGCGGTGGCGACTCTTGCTTTTGTGAGTCAAGTTAATTAATATCTTGATCTCCGATTTTCACCGTTACAGAATTGGCGACTCTGCTGGGGACAGATTGACCTCTTGCTGGTCCATCCCTAAGTGGGTTAAGCCTAATTTGTTTTATCTGTTTTATCATTATTTGATTGTTTGATTATATGTATATATTGTGATTATTTAGGTATTGATAATATTTACAAAGGACAAGTCCTATTCCCGGACTAAGTTACACTTAGGAATAGGACGGGCGGTATAGTCATGTTAACTTTGAGGGAGTAATCCCGAAGAAGGAGGCATGAGATCCCCCACTCAGTGGAAGGCCCTTTTGAACGTAATATTTGTTTACCGAGTAATCGGGAAGACATTATTATTTTCGACCTGGGAGCATGAGAAGCTGGGAACCGTAGAACCCTAACCCATCTTGGCCTTTTAGGTGTAGCGCGAAGATTATAACGGAGTAATCCGGAAGTAATTGTTACGCGATGCTACGCTCAGATGAGTTTCTCTTGAGAATATTGCTGATTATTGAGTAATCAAGACGTTGGTAATATCCGAAGGAGGAATGTAGACTCCGGGAACTCTTAGAACCTTGTTCTACAGGTGTGATTAAACCGTTAGTACATACCTTAGGGGTGTTCCTTACCTTGACTCCATGCTCGTGACGTTGAACCTTTCGACTTTATCTATGACCTCGCTTGTGGTTGTTGCATAGCCATGCATTCATGCATCCATAAAACCCTTTTCACTTGACTTTGAAGGAATTTGGAGGTCTTTCTTTGTAAACATCACAAGTTTCGTCAAGCTCAATGGATCTTGGGTGTTGATAGGGCGAAAACCCTAATCCACCAAAATGGATGATTGATCTTGATGATAACTTGATCAATGTTTGGAGCCAATTTAAAATTCATCTTCTATCTTCATACTTTGATGTTTACAACTTAATATCTTGAGTTCCTTGAAAATCAAATAAAAACTCTCTTTTGCATATCATACATCATTCTACATTTTTTGTTTCACTTTCAAGGGTCATTTCCGAGTCTTAATTTTTTCCTTTGGTCTCACCAATACAACACTCGCGCTAAGAGGACAATGGAGAATATCAAGCAAGAGGTTTCTGAACTCCGTAGAGAGATGACTATTTTGAAAGCTAGTGTGGAGCACTTAACTGGTTTGGTCAAAATTTTGGTTGCCTCCCAAGTCAATCCTTTTAGGAGGGAGGAAGCGATGATAAAAGTCTTCATTGAAACTCTAAAATCATTCTCTCATGAGAAGGTGTTGGTTAATGCACCTAATGACTTTCCTGACAAGGTGAATATGGGAGTGCGTCTAGAAGAAGATGTCGGAAAGGGATGTTCATATGAAGATGGTAGCTCAGCTAATGGTGTGAAGAAGTTTGATAATAACTTTTCCAAGAAGAGAACCATAGGAAGAAATAATCATTGTCAGAATCATCATGTTTCTCCTATTCATCAACAGAATCAGCAGGTTCCTAATCAGAGGAAAGCCCAGTTTGATCCAATTCCAATTACCTATACAGAGTTGTTCCCTATCCTGATGCAGAGGAATTTGGTTCAGACCCGACCTCCACCGAAGGTTCCTGAGAAGATACATTGGTACTACAAAGCTGATTTGGCATGTACCTTTCATCAAGGTGCTCCTGGGCATGACTTAGAGGGTTGCTTTGCTTTGAAGATTGAAGTTCAGAAGTTGGTCAGAAGTGGTATCTTGTCATTCAAGGACGTTGGTTTTGAAGTTCAAATCAAGCACGTGCCGAAGAGTAAACACGATTGATGGTCACTTTGAGTTTTGAAGGATGTTTTCGGTGATTCAAGTCCAGATGGAAAGCCTTCCCAGATTATTCACTTATTTATGCTTTTTGTAATTTTTCTTGTTTATCAAAACATTGTTTGCATGTAAGAACTTGTTTGCATCTGAATGATTATCTTAATACAATGAGTATGTTTGTCTTGAAGAAATTCATTCGTTTCACTCATGTTTGTTTTCAAATTTTAAATTGCTTTTGCACTATGATACCAAATTGTTGCTCATTCTCTTGCCTAGGCAGAGATTGAAGGGAGGATGATGATCTAAAGAACACAAAATCTCTGTTTGTTTGCTTTTGGATAAAACCTTGCTGATGATGTACATGCATTGTTTCAAATACCTAAACAACGGAGATATAAGGAAGATAATCCCTTGCTAACCCCTTTTGAGCCTTGAAGTAGAAGTTTCTTTTCTATACGAAAAAACCTTGAATTTTAACCTGGGGCAGGGTAGTTTTTAGTTAATCTGACTGAGTGTTCGAAATTCATAAGGAAGATGTTTTTTGAAGAGCAACTACGAGGGCTATCCTTCATGTATAATGAATCTAGAAGATGTGGAACCACAATGTTATCCCTCATTCATCAAGAAACGAGGCAATCACAATCCTCTCAACAAGCAAAGACAAGCTAATGTCACACATTTTGTTCAAAAAGTCAAAAATCGAGAAAAAGAAAAAGCCTGCTAAGTCAAAAAACATGAAAACGTGTGACTTAGGCAAAATTAAGGCATCCCGCTGGACTATCAATTCAAAAGAATTAATTCAGGCAAAAGTTAGGGAAAATAAAAATTGCAAAGAAAGGACTACAAAGAAAAGTCCTCAGCAAAGAGCAAATTGGTGACTACAAACACAAAGACATGAGGGTGGTTTCTACCCCGAAAGCCTCGTCGTTTCCTTGACCGTCACAAAATCCTTTTGAGAGACGAACACTCATGTTGAATTAACTGAACATAGGGTTGGAGAACATCATGGAGAATGGGTGGGCACCAAATATTTTGAGCCTTAAATCTTTTTTCTAAAACCATGAACCAGACCACATTACAACCTTCAAAAGTCCTAATTGAAGCAAGGTTATTTTGAAAGCATACTTCAATGAGATAGTGTTCCTGACTCCCATGAATGTTCTAAATAGTTATGTTGGTATCATATGTTTTGCCTATACAAAAATAAATGGTGTTTTAGCACGCAAAATTTGTGCGATATCTTTCAAAATCTTCAAGACTTACATAACTGTTGCATTAGAATTTTCATTCTCATTGTAAACTTTTTCTAACTGCAAAACATTTGTTTGATATCAAGGAAGCTCACATAAGCACCAGTGATGAGTTTTATTCTTTTAAGGCCTGAAACTATGTTGAGTAATTGACGAATCATTTCAAGAAAAAAATCATATCCATGGGCATGTCACCTGAAGACCGTAAGCACAGACATGTTGCTTCTCCTAGTTAATGCTTTCCCAACTTCTTTACCCTTTATTGGGGAAAAATTTGAAGACTTTGTTGTGCCAACTACAGTTAATCCGGAGCAATCACGTCGAGATTCGATGAATCTCTCTAAGAGTTTGAAGACACCAGAGCATGGTGAATGCCAGGTCTTTTGTAAAATCCTCTTGAGACGATTTCTCCTCATCAACCATATAGCTTGGGGCATTTTAGAAGCGAAGTTATTCGCAAGAATTGTCGTGCAACATGCAGCTTATCAGCAGTAAACTTGGGGCATCCAAAATTAGTCCCAGGGGCAATCCATATTTGTCAAGATATGTTTTTCATACATTATCAGAGGGTGGTGTTCCCAGTATCTCCAGCTAAGCAAGACTTCTTTCTAGCTGAAACTTTGTTTGTGTTGTTATCCTTTCTATGGATTGTTTGCAATAGAAGACTGGACTTTGAGT